GTCCATTTTAGATCGAGCCTGGTGAGTTGAACCACCCTATACAAGTTCTTCCCCAGGCAAGACTAACCAAATTTTACGTTCCTCTTTATACAGCGTAAAGTCGGTCTGTTTTTGGAGTGCGACGACACTGATTTACGCTGTAGATGAGAAATTTAAATTAAGTTGAAAGCTGAGCTACAGTTAGTAGTCATTCTACATGGTGAACAAAAACAGTGCAAAAGGCAAGGACAAAAGAAGTAACACACACGACAGGACACCTGTCCAGTTGTCTATGTTGCTCCTTTTGTCCTTGTGTTTTCTGCTTTTTTTTTTTTTTTTTTTTTTTTTCACCATATATGAGTAATTTAGCCTGTGCAGTACCACCGGTAGCCCAGGGCGTTCAACGCGCATCAATGGCCAGAGGAAAGCTTTGAGCGCCAAGAATATCGGAGGCCACAGCACCGTTATGGCACCGTCTGCGAATGCTGCCGCAGATTACCCAAAACAGTATTTTTGTTTTGTTTTTTTCTGTGCGAGGTGAGTAAATTTCTTGATATTATCACAACAGGCTTCCACCACCTACACTCTAAAAAAATCCGTTCTTGAAAGGCTCTTCGATACGCCTAGAACTCTTTCAGCTCGTGAAGAATTTTTATTATAATGCAATTAAATGCAAAGGTGCAAGCGAGCTGGACAAGAACGGTTTCGTCTTAAGCCCTATCGGCTCCTGACGCACTAGAACGACAACTGGGCGATGAACAACTCTTTCCAATAAACAAAAGGGAGCCTAAAAGAACTCCTTGTCTCTATATCAAGAAAAACCCTCTAGGGGTGCTTAAAAAAAATTATAGGGTGCAAAATACGGACGAGCCGAAGAACCCCTACAAGTTCTTTTACGACCAGACGATATGGTTCTTAAAGAGTAGCGCACCTGTGTATACTCCGCTCATTCTTAAACAGGAACCGCAGTCAATACCACAAGTTCATTACGCAACAACTTTCATTTCTATGTCTGAGCCTTCGTAGGACTTTCCAGAACGGCAGCAACAAGCTGCACTCGACGCTCATGTCCCGATACAATCTATAGGAGTCCGTATCATCGCTTTTCGGGGGCCTCATCAAGCGTTTGGGGGAGTCATGAACCCTTCGCAGTCAACAGAGTAAGGGCAACGCGTGTGCCGCCGGTGCCGGCCTCCTCTTCGTCACCCCCTCGAAAATGGGACCACATCTCGACCGACCTGATCGGCCGTCCTCCCTCATCCTTCTTCAATCTTCATAAGCCACCGAGCGCAAAATGACACATGATAAGAAATAAGCAAATCTGAAACGCTGCAGGCAACGCAAAGAATGCTAAGCCATGCCTGAAGTGTCTTAAACTGTCCGTGGTATATGAAAACGCAGCGTGGTCCGATCAAACCCTTCAAGAAACCCCGAGAGCAACTGTAAAACCTCATAAATAGCCACCTACTCCCTGGAGTAGTTAGCCCCAATTATATTGCGGGCCCTCTGAAGCTTGCGGAATTAATGACATACATCGCGGCGCTGGCTCAACACTTATGCAGCACCGCGTCACTAAAATAGCGCCAAGTCACCACCAAGCTCAATACTATTTTCAGTGCTGACTAATAGCAATGAGGTAGCGCTGTGGTACACGTGTAAACAGGCCTTTAACCATTATATACCCCGATTGCCTTGAATACCGCGCCGACGTACCGTCGACGTTCATCCGGTGTTTCATGAAATAAGGAAAATAAGGACAAAAGTTTTGCCTGTATCGACGATGCGTTAGTCACCGTCATTGGGCCTATTTAATGAGATAACCTACCGAGGTCGATGAGTTAAAAAAATGTATTTAATTAGTTTTCCTCGCTAATTTTCTACTTAGTAAAAAAAAAACGTGTAATCTCAATTAAAACCTAGCTGAGAATCATTGAAGAACAGTAAATCTGACAATTTTAAGAAAACTTTAAGAAAAAAAGATTTGAAGAAACATTCATTTAACAAAACAGTCAGGTTCATACCTCGAATAAAGCCTTACACGATATAATATCTGCACTGTTAGATACAAAGCGCGAATGAAAAGGAAAAGAAAATGACAAAATACAGGTAACAAGAGAGTGATAATTAACAGAACAGGAGCAGTAAATTGACAGCACTAAACGAAGGCACGTGCCGTGTACACTACGATCCAGCACGTGATATATACGCAACATATGTAACTTCAAAGAGGGGGAAAGAAAGAAAATAATCGAGGCAGTATGTTCACATTTTAAACGCAATAAAGAGTCGAACGTACAGCATCCTCAACCATCGAACCATATTTGATAATGAATATTTGTTCGGGAAGCTTATTCCAATTGTTAATCGTGTTTGAACAAAAATATTACTTGAAAACATCGATTCTGGCCAAATACGGCCGCAATGCTTTAAAACTTTTCAGTCTTTTTTTTTTTTTTTTTTTTTATCTGTTGGTAATGTTTCTAAGATAAATGTCGCGGTTGATGTTGAGTTGGAAATCAAAACAGACTCTATAGACGTGCAATTATTTTCCTAACCTTTAAAGGTAGTAGCCAACAAACATTCAACATTTCTGTCACAGACGAAAATTGATCTGTAGTTCGAAAAAATAAAACTTGCGGCCTGCCTCTGTATTCTCTCGAGTCGGCTTTATTTCGGTCTTGGTTGCGGGGTCCCAAACGACCCAGACGTATTCTAGAGTATCCCAGCCCGTATTAGAGCTTTGTAGGCCGCAAGTCTTATTTCTTTATTGCTGTTTTTAAGTTTATGTCTAAGCATGCATAATTTCCAATACGCAGCTGCGCACATCTTTAAGATATGTGGCCGCCATTTTAAGTTTTGACTTCTTGTTACCCCCGAATACCTGAAAGTTTCTGTTTTGGTCAATTGTGCACTTCCAATGTGATACTGAAACAGAGATACATTCTTCTCATAAGGGGCGTGGGTACAGGATGACTTTTTAAAGTGAATTGACATTTGCCATCGGAAGCATTACTGCCTAATCTGATCCAAACTCGAATTTAATGCTACCTAGTCCTCAGGCGTCTTAATGGGTGGGTAACCATTCATCGTACCTTCTGAGGAGTTCTCCGGGCATGTTAACTGGTCCCTGAGCCTTTTTCGGGTCAATATGCAACGATCTAACGAAAATTCCAATACCGCCTTCTTATCAACTCAGTCATCTGAGGATGCGTCGCGCTGGTAAAAATTGGGAACATGCTTTGTCCGTCTCCCTCCGCAAAAACCGATTGAAAAAATTCGTTAAATATGTTTGCAATCTCGTTATGTTCCGTAATTACCACATCACCCAGAATAATCTGCTAAATCTGTTCTTTTTTTATTGTCGACGTACCTCCTGAATTTCCTTTGGGAATTCCTCAAAGAGTCATGTAGAGTGAGCCCAAAGAATCTTTATTTCGCTTTCTTCAGTAATCGTTTCATCTTTTAAGGTAATTTCCTAAATAACATCATTTTCTTTTCTTTTTTTTCTTTTTTTTTTTTTTTTGCTTTTTGCATTTGTTTTATTTTAGACGTGTGGTGAATGACTTCAGGGGTAATCCACGGTTTATGCTTTGCTATTTGCTTAAAACGTGTAGGACCATAAGTTTCAATACAGTGCGAAACCAAACTCGTCAAGTAAAGCCTGGGGCTCTAAACTCGTCAAGCACAAAGTCGGGGCCGAAGTTCACGGAACGCGCCGACTGGACTATCACCACGATGACTTGGCGCTTTTGTCGCCGGCGTACAATCGCCGCGCTCCGCGAACGGTCGGCTCCAACTTGTGTTTTTGACGAGTTTAGGGCTCCAGATGTCGTCCAGACCAAGGGTATACCAAAGGTTCCTAAAATTATCCCAGGTCATCTTCAGGTGGTCAAGATCAGAAGCGTCATTTGCCCCGTGAAAATCCCTTATTAAAGTTTTCCTTGAGGCACATTGTTTTTTTCTTGCGATTTAACGTAATATAAACTGAAACCATTCGATGATCTCATATGCCTTAATTAACTACGGTGGAATAATCGTTAATATTATCTGACAAAACCACGAAATCTAATAACGTCTTACTATGTTCAGTACTTGTCGTATACTATTGAACTATTTGGTTGAGACAATAATTAAACGCTATGTAAAGCAACTTTTCGCAACTTGTAACTTTTGAACATCCAACAGTTAGCTGTTCCCAATCAATACCGGGAAGATTAAATTCCCTGCCCTGATTAGTCGAGCATTGTTATTTACGTGTTTCCATAAGGTATTAAGATCCTCAAGACACTCGGTCGGAGCATTCGGCACTCCATAGACAGCCACAACCACAAAAGATACATTACAAAATGAAATTTTACAGGACAACGTATCTTTCAAATCACAATCTAACAATAAAAAAAAGAAAAGAAAAAAAAAGATATTGCTTCTTCAGGATAATAGCAACGCCCCCTCCTCGAGATCCCTTTTAGTTTCTAATCGTTTTGTAGTTCGGTGGAATAATAATATCGGCTACAACCAGGTTTCCGTTACGATAAGAATGTGCGGGTTGTGTATCATTATCATGCGCTCCAGAGATATCCCTTCGTATGCTATACCTCTAGCATTAAATGTGATAATCTAATAACTCAGATGGGCTCTGCAACTGATTGTGAAAGTAATTGCCTGTCTTCTTTTTTATATCAGACACTGGACGCATTGGATTGCATTCAACGTCCCAGCACAACATTATGTCGTTATTTCTTAGCTTATCGTGAACAAGAAACATTTCATCTCCATTTTTCGTGTCCGTTTGTGCGCATTCCCACAGTCTTTTTTTCTGACGAAGTGTCTTTTGCACAGTCACAACTTACAATCAGCTTGCTTCCCTTCAGACTTTTGCAGTTTTCCTTTAAAATTCTTGCTTCTCATAGTAATCCCTACATTTCATAATTGCCGGTCTACATGCACCCGGTATTTATTTTTTTTTTTTTTTAATAATCGATGATGCCACCACAATTTCCCTGTCGATCTGAACGACACAGGTGGAGCCTCATCTACCACTGCCTGGGGGACAAGTACGAGGCCCTCCGCTGGAACTTCCTCGAGAACATCCCCAGGGAACTGTCCCGCTTCAGCCAGTTCCTGGGGCACCGGCGCTGGCTCATGGGCGACAGACTCACCCACGTGGACTTCATGCTGTACGAGGCACTCGACCAGTACGCCCTTTTCAGCGAGGGCTGTCTCGACGCCGAGCCCAACCTCAAGGCGTACGCGGACAGATTCCGAAACCTGGAGCCCATAAAGCGCTTCCTGGAGTCGGGCGATTTCAAGCCCTGGCCCGTGTTCCTGCCCAACGCTGCCCACTTGAGCGCCAAGGACGAGCTGCCCAAGGCCCTCAAAAAGAGTGGCTAAAGGGCACGCGGTTTCGTTAGTCTCGAATCGTGAAACCAGATGGAATACGCGTAGACTGAGTGCAATACTTGATCGCATACTGTCTTGGGAAACAGCCAGGCGCACGTAAGAAAAGAGAACAGTATTTTTTTGTGTTCTTTTGTTTGTCTGTGTAAATAAACTACGCATCGCAGAAAGCTGAACTACCTTGAGAATTTGACACTGGCAGTCTTGATAAAATGCGAAAGTTTCAGAACATGACATTACCTGGATCAAAAGATAGAAAAGAAAGAAGTAATTTTTCGATGAGCCGACGTCCACCGAAGCCTAATAATGTCAAAGCAAGAAAACGAGATTGTGGTCGCCTGTAGCACCTATTGCATTGAAGAAAAAAAAACTTGTCAGCCAGAAAGAAAACAATATTATCTTTCTTGCTGACAAATGTTTTTCACTGACATAAGTGCCACATGCGTCCACAATTTCAGTTCTTCTGTTTACCATGCAAGGCTTACGTAGACGTCATCTCATGCAGAAATTTCGTATTTCTTTCTTACATTCTGGTCAAGGTACCGTCACGTTCTCAAACTTTCGCGCCCAAGCAATAGCGTTACATTCTCACGGTGTTTGAGTTTTTTTCCGATGCGCAGTTTATTTCCGCGGGTCGAAACATACCGTTTTCCTATCTCGTGAACGCCTTGTACTTCTTTGCGGTGAACACGGAACACATGTGCTCCTGAAGCACAGCTGAACGAATTCGGGGGTGCTAGGGAGGGTCGAGAAGGCCTTTCGTTTTCTTTGCGTGACAGAATTCGGTGCATGTACTCCCGCGTACGCTCTGATGTCAACTTTGTACCATTCACGCGAGACTGAAAAACACCGATAATAAAAAAATAAGCGTCCAATAAAGAATATCCGGTGCGTATTTTCGTGTCATAATCAGCCGAAGTAATACTTGGTCGCATAGTTATCCGTCATATACCGTAAAATTGGGAATATAACGAAGCTCCCCCTGTATACATCCCGAGCCGAGGAAAGGAGTAACGACGAAAAGCGGAAAACGGCACGCAGCTGGACATGAACGGTCATGACTAGCGGTTCGCCAAATGCACATGCCAGTGAACGTGGCTGTTATCTTTTGGAATCCCTTTCATATTTCCCAGAGTACCGCAAAACGCACCCACTACACACTTTTGTTTCGTAAATGTTAGGAGACATAGTAGGAGAAAGCTGCAAACTCAAACTGTAAGGGCCTCCCATTTTCAAGGCGTATGGCCCTGGCAGCCCGCGCGTATGACACAAGACACCAACGTTCAAAAACAGACCGTTTAGTGAAAACAGAAAAGCGTAGCAATGTAAGGGAACGGGCCCGCACACGACATTCTCGAGGGCAAACGTAATCTCCGGTGTAATTTTCAGCCTTAACGGTGAGCAGGACCTTCGCGCAATCTGCACATATTTCATCCTTTCAGCCACCCCATGCCGACGCCGGTATGCTACGGCATACCGGCCTATGTGACTACCGGTTGTTTGCAAATATGAGATTGACGTTTTGCACACGATCTGTCTTTATGCACCGGGCGTTGACTCTCATCAGAACTTTCTCGCCTGGCGCCCTTTAAAGAATGGTCAAGTGTGTCGCCCTTACGTTCAGACTGTAGCTCGTAATTCGATACAGAGCCAGACAACGAGTGTAGATCGAAAACAAAACGGCCCTATACAGCTGCGAGGCCGTCACCAAGACTCGTGTTGTTTAAAAGAAAGCGCCAAACGACACAAAGAACACGTATAACCCGACGTCCCTCAGGGTTTTAGATTAGCACGCGACAAACCTAAAAGCGAGAGCTCCGCTTTACCCCTGTCCCATAGGGACAGTATCCCAGCAAGCAAAACCGGCCCAGTGCAAATTATGTCGCACGAGTTCATATCAGGTGATGCCCCATCCGACGATCCCAGCGTTCTATCGGCGGTTCACTCGGCTTATCTCTAATCAGCGTCCGACTGTCTGGCGTCCTCCCCAAAGCCCTTTTCTGCGAACTGCCGCACTTGACGCCACTGAGAGCACAGCTGTAGAGCCGGGCACGTCGGCTCCCCACAAACAATGCCTTCGAACGCAAGCGACGCTGGTGGTACGTCGACGATCACCCTGGGCTACTGGGGTGGCCTTCGGGGCATCGTCGTGCCTATTCGCTGCATGCTCGAGTACGCCGGCGTGCCTTACCGCTTCAAGACCCATGAGTACATCCGAGGCGGGACCACGCCGGCGGAGCGCAAGGCGCGCTGGCTGGAGGACAGCGCGGTCCTAGCGCAACAGGGGCTGCCCTTTCCGAACGTGCCCTACCTTATCGACGGCGACGTCCAGCTCAGCCAGAGCCTGGCCATCATGAGGTACCTGGCCAGAAAGTACGGCCTAGACCTGCCAGACGCTGACCTGGGGACTGCAGCCAGGTTGGACATGATTGAGGCCCAGGTGAACGACTTCAGGTACGTGCATGGTAAAAAAAATGCTCATTAGGCCCCTAACGAAGCAATATTCGAAATAAAAAGATATAGGTCAAGCTGAACTACCATGCCGGGAATCTAAATGATGTCGTCAATCTCAGTGCTCATCCCTCCCAGAGATTCTAAATCTGTTGGCAACCTACGTAATAAACACCACTATAAAGAATGTCGATGCTCGTTATATCGATCAGTAACTATTGTTAAAAAATTCGAGAAAGCCAAACTTTTACTGGTCTTCCAGTCACTATTCATGACCCTGCCCTCGATAAAATGTAATAGCATAAAATTATACTCTCTTGTACTTTCATGAAACATTCGGCTGATAGTACATTAAACATATTGTCACGGATGACAAGTGACGAGGCGGCGAAGGACTGCGTAAACTGAACGTTTAATGGGGCGAACTTGTGCCCAAAAATGAAAGGAGAAAGAAAGATAACAACAGAGCGTCGCGGGCGTCGAAGGCGGCGAAGCAGCACGATCGAACGCTGAGGCGAAAAACTGACAGTGGCTCGCCACGCGGAGCCACTTATGTACATGCGTGGTCTTCTGGAATAATCAGCGTAGAAAGTTCGACGTGTAGAACATTCGAATCCCGGACAAAAGCTCACCGAACAAAAGCTCACCGGACAAAAGCTCACCCATTTTTTAACAAACCCGGACAAAAGCTCACCAGAAGAAAATTTCATGTTGGTATTATAGAGAACCCAAGTTTAGAGAAAAAGGTGATGAGCCTCCTTTTAGCGAATTCGGCCACCGCGAAGCGGCGTGTACGGATAAGTCAGGCGAGTTAACATTTTTGTAATGAGCCGCCGCAGACCGCCGCCGCGAAGCGGCGGGAGCGCAGCAGGGGGCTTGGGTGCGCACTAGTGATACACGCGCGAAGTAGAAAAGCCTTTTAAAGCGCAGCTCTTAGGGGCCCGTTCCCGGCTTGAGCGGCGTCGCCGTCGGCGTCGACGTCGGCGTAACCGCAACCCTCGTAACCCTCGTGAGGGTTACGAGGGTTAATCTCATGAGGGTTACCCTCACGAGGATCACGAGGGCCACGAGGGTTACTTACCCTCGTAACCCTCACGAGGGTTACGAGGGTTAGTTACCCTCAAAAGGGTTACCTTCACGAGGGTTACCCTCACGAGGGTTACTTACCCTTGTAACCCTCACGAGGGTTACGAGGGTTAGTAACCCTCGTGAGGGTAACCCTCGTGAAGGTAACCCTTTTGAGGGTTACGAGGGTTAGTAACCCTCGTGAGGGTAACCTTCACGAGGGTTACCCTCACGAGGGTCACGAGGGTTATGAGAGTTACCCTCACGAGGGTTACTCACCCTCGTAACCCTCACGAGGGTTACGAGGGTTAGTTACCCTCACGAGGGTCACGAGGGTTATGAGAGTTACCCTTACGAGGGTCACAAGAGTTACCCTCACGAGGGTCACGAGAGTTGCCCTCACAAGGGTTACTAGGGTTACCCTCACGAGGGTCACGATGGTTACCCAGGTCGTGACCCCCCCTGGGGTCACGTGACCTGGGGATACCCCCCGAGGTCACGTGACCCCCCGTTGACGTCATAGGCACTGATGACGTCGTCAGTGACGTCACTGATGACGTCACCGGCATCCGCATCGTCATCGTCATCATCACTGATGACGTCATTAGTGACGTCACTGATGACGTCACCGGCATCCGCATCGTCATCATCATCACTGATGGCGTCATCAGTGACGCTACTGATGACGTCATCGGTATCGTCACGTGGCCCCAGGTCACGTGACTTCCCGACGTCACGTGACGCCCCAAGGTCACGTGACTCCCACAAGGTCACGTGACCCACAAGGTCACGTGACCCCCAAGGTCACGTCACCCCCCGCCCCCCGAGGTCACTTAACCCACCCCCCAGTACCCTTCCCTCCTCCTCCTCAAGAGCTGCGCTCTAATTCGGCGTTACAGGGAGTTGTAAACGGCTTTCATTTTTTTTCAATAGCGTCCCCTTTTCGATAAACGGCATTTCTCTATACTGAGGCTCTGCTTTCTCTAAACCGTGCTTCGATAGAACGTGCCCGTTCTCTAAAACATGTTTCGACGAAATGGCATTTGATCAACCGTAGTAAACCCTTGCGGGGGTAGGGGAACAAGTTCACTTAAAAATGGCGCAATGTCCATCGCGTCCGCATTTTATTTCAGCCCGTGTTTCGCCCGGGTAACGAAAAAAAAATGAGGTGAGCTTTTGTCCGTGTCTGTGAAAAAACGGGTGAGCTTTTGTCCGGTGAGCTTTTGACCGGTGAGCTTCTGCCCGGTGAGCTTTTGTCCGGTTACCAGAATAAGCAACATGATTCTCGAATTTACCAGAATACTAGTCTGCAGGAATAAACAAAAAGATGCGCCGCTCCCAGGAATCGAACCCTGGCTTTTCGAGTGGGAGCCAGGTACGTACGATAACCGTTAGGTCACGCGCGCGCTGCCTACTTGGCCAGCTGCACGCGCGGGAATACACTTTTAGTACGTGCACATTAGGTGTCCTATACTGTAATGTCCCCCGAGGCGATGTAGGTATTCAACTTAATATATAGACTAGATCGACGCGCGAAGAGCACTGCTAAAATACGACGTACACTAAGAGAATATTATGCGCATACTTCCCGCAATGAAAGTATTCGAAAACGTAGGTTAAGCATGCTTTTTTTTTATAATGAAAGAACCAAGTTAGGACATTTCGACTGTTTTGCTTCTTTGCTTAGAGTGAGCTTCGCCAAACTTTAAAGGAATGCAGAAGCTATCTCGGGTGAAGCGAAAATCGCCCGATGTGCCACAGAATAATGGGCCAGACGGGGGAAGCCCTTCTCCGAGTTGATATGGCTCAAGTTTAGCGTGGCCCGATGGTGGAACTTGCGGCTTGTTTTCAGAAGTCGCGATAACACTTCCAATACATCACGTAAGTCTGCGGACATCCTCTGAGGCGTGCTTTGTCCTTGTGCGACGGTCATGTTACGTTGGTCATAAAAACATTAGTCAGCAAACATATTCGAAGTACATGAAGCGCTTCGAACACGCCTGAGCCGCGTCCTCAGACACTTCTGTCATCGTGTCTTTCGTATGCTGTTGAGACCGGTTATGACGAAGTCAACGGGAATCGGAAATCGCTTCGCTATATCTGCTATTTTCTTATAACCGACTTCGGTTATAACGAAGTACAAAAGAGAATCTGAAATCGTGATTTGCTTCGCTGTAGCAGCTATTTCGTTATAAGCGACTTCATTATAACCGGTCTCGACAGTATGGCGTATGGGCAGTGTGACTGGGGCTTTAAGAACGAACACCGCAGGCTTAATGCCACTGGGAACAATTCGCACACACTGTAAGGTCCTACTCAGTGGCTGTAGAGAAAACCTCCCAGTACGGCAGCAACAAGTTCCACTCGACGACAGTCTAGGAGTCGGTAACAGTGCCTCTCTTTGGGGCTCCGTCGAGAGTTCGGGAGGGTCACACTTCGCCGACGCCTCGGGTCAACGGCCAGACGCGTGCCGTCGACGCCGCCCGTTCCTCTTCGGCACCCCCTCGGGGACGGGACCACACTTCGACCGACCTGATCGGCCGCCCCCTTCATTCTTTCATCTTCCCAACCAGCCGATCGGAGAATGACGGATGACCGAAAAGGCGTACATCACAAACGCAAAACGTCCCTCTCTGCAAAGATCTGCAACAAACAAAAAGTTTGCATCCGCGCGCGCGCGCTGCGTGCGTGCGTGCGCGTGCGTGTGTGTGTGTTTTGCAGATGCCAGTAAGATCAATTGGGGTTCATGGTAGGGGTTAGTCGCAGGCACAGCCGCTCAAGACGCTGCCCTTGCTGCCAGCCGTGGCTCGATCTCCATAAACACGTGAGCGCGTGCTGGCGGCAAAGTGCGCTCGCGCTATGTTGGCGTACGATGCATAACGGTGAAGGAGCATGTCGCATAATGACTGAAAGGTGGTGACGATGAGAGTCAGATGACAGTCAGATGACGGTTGGCGTGGGAAACATAACGCAGAATTAGCTATAATATTTTACTGGGGTGATTTCATAATTGCTGAAACATGTGAGGTGAGAGGGCAATAGTGGGGAAGCCATTAAGCCGAAAAAGAATAAAACCTAAAACGTTGAATAAAAATAGATTACCCTTACAAAAATTATCAATGAGTTTCAATTGAGTTTCTAATGTAATCTATAAGAATACATTTGGAGCTCAGTTGAAACTCACTGATAATTTTTGGAAGAGTATTATAGTCTTAAGGAACGCAGGGCGTGCCTTGTGGTGTTCAGGCTTCTTGGTTCGTGATCACGACAGCTCATTAGACAAAGATGGCGTCGAGATGAGTGACATGCCACACTGTTCGCTCCCTCTCTTTTCGAACGACACAGGTGGAGCCTCATCTACTACTGTTGGGAAGACAAGTACGAGGCCCTCCGCTGGAACTTCCTCGAGAACATCCCCGGGGAACTGTCCCGCTTCAGCCAGTTCCTGGGGAACCGCCGGTGGCTCATGGGCGACAGACTCACCCACGTGGACTTCATGCTGTACGAGGCACTCGACCAGTACGCCCTGTTCAGCGAGGGCTGCCTCGACGCCGAGCCCAACCTCAAGGCGTACACCGAGAGGTTCCGGAACCTCGAGCCCATAAAGCGCTTCCTGGAGTCCAGCGACTTCAAGCCCTGGCCCGTGCTGCTGCCCAACGCAACGCGCTGGGGAGCGCAGGACGAACCACCCAAGACGCTAACGAAGAGCTGCTGAAGGCCCGTTTTGTATATAATAGTGGCACGTCCGCAACGTGATTTACAATAAGGAACGAGAAATTCTGCGCACATCTTACGCAACATTGCGCAAGCTTCGTGTTGTACTCAAAATCGGAGACAGCCATGTATACTACGCGACATCGGCTCGTTTTCGCGCATCACTTCGAAAGGGTATGGGTGGGCACCGAACTTACTCCGTTGGGTCAGGTATCCAAATGAGTAGTTTACATCATGCTAGTAGTTTCGATCCCAGCCTTTCAAATCTTAGAGAAAAACAGAAAAAAGAAAATTACTCCCGCTTGTTCGCGCTAACAGTGTCACGCAATGTACTCTCCTTCGAGACGCACGCGGAACACCGACTTTCGAGGATAAATCTGTCCAGTTTGAACGTCTGCGAGTATAAATAAAACCATAAAACGAAATTCCCGTCAGTTTTGGTGTTTTTCCTGACAGGATTATGTGTTTGTCTCTCGTCACAAAATACGCGAGAAATTCGTAATTGTTCCTGGGATGCGACAGCCTCAGCGTCCTCCACTGATTGAGCTCATTATAAGAATCACACTGGCAGGCGCTGTATGTCTATTGCATTCTTTTGTGCACTGAGCAGTCGACACAAGCACCACGCGGGTCCGCACACATCGCAATAAAACGGGGAACTCAAGATAAGAAACAAGTGTTAGCTGACAGGTACAAAAATCAGGCGAACGGGATACCTGCTTACGCAGGACAGGCTCCCTGGGCAACTACGCAATACACGCCAACAGCTCCACGATAAGGCCGGAGTGCTTTGTTTTCTATGTCAGCGGCAAGCGGCCAGTGCGGGGCATATACTGGTAATGAGCGATCCATGCCCTTTCGCCTTGAACACGTGTTCCATCAACGAGTACACGAGCTCCGGCAGCAGAAGCTGACGGACCACGCCTGTCCAATCCATGCCCCACGCTGGCCTTCGGTCGGTGACGTAGAAACGTGCGCAATGTGGCCTCGTCGTCCAGGGGGTATTCTTACATGCCCATCACGGACACCGTCCCAAGCGAAAGCAGTGACGATGGAGTCGGTACACAGCCCAAGCAACCAACCAGCGACGTGACACCGATAATGTTTTGTTACATCTTAAAGGACTCGAGACGCCAGCGATGATGTACGCGCAACACGTCGTGCTATTTGTAACCGCGCACTTTACACCCCGTTCGAACAACAGCTATCATCCATTGGCTAACCCCGTTTAACTGAACACTCTATAGACCCTTTCCACAAGGACGCCGCCATCTTGAATTGTCGTCACTTCCAGTATGGGCGAAAACATTGTTTTGCCGTCGCCACGCCAATAGAAGGCATTTAGGACATAAACGTAACCGTCACACATTCTCGTTTTGCGTCCCCTCTATGTTTTTACTATTTGCAGGTTAAAACGTTCTGATATTTTTTCGTCGCCCATACCGTACATGCCTACTTGGCGGTCGGGGGCGAGAGTAAACGGAAAAGGTCTATAGAGGTATTAGGTCTCTCTCATGGTCAGGCACACGCGCCGAAGATTTTCGACGTGTATGCAACTCATCAGATGAGGAAGCACTCCATCTCCGAGTCAATAAAGAACGATATAACGACGGTTGAAATTTCTTCTTGGGCGGGTTGAAACTATTGTGGCCAGTTTTTTAGTTTTTTTTCCTCTTGTTCCTTTTAGTATTATTATTACTTTTACTTTTATTATTACTATTATTTCTGAAACTTGCTGACCCTGCCGTGTGTTCGAAATACTGCCTCTTCAAAACTTCCTGCCTCTTCAAAGTTTCCCGAGAGTTTATGGGTACAAATTGAGTGTGCAAAGAAAGTACGCCGTTCTATTGGCCTTTTTTACCTGCCTCCGCAAACGACGCCCGACGACTTTCGTACGTGTCTCGCTGGCATAGAGAACACCGTTAACGAGTTACACGGCTGTAATGACTTAACGTTACGTGATTTTAATGCTCCAGGCATCAACTAGACGCAGTTTAATGTTTCTACTGACAACTCTTATTCGAAGCAGAAAGGCAATCACCTCCTAAACTTTGTTTTTCTTTTAGACCTTGCACAACACAACGATATGCTTAACCACCAAGGTAATTTATGTCTCTCAAACATGGACTGCGTGCGAGGTGAAGTCCCTATGGTTCTTCTGGATAAGTATCATCCTGCCCTTGATTTAGTGGTTTCTTTTATTGATTCCTCGATTCGCGCTCCTATTGAGGCTTCTCCTCCACGCATCTTATACAATATTTCACCAGGAGACTATACATCGGGATGTTCCACCACCTCTCCAATGTTGATTGGTCTCCGGTCTTAGAATCCTCCGATGTAAATGAGCAGGTAGCTCTCTTTACAAGATTAATTCAAGAGGCCATGGACAGATTCATCCCTTTAAGATCTTTAAAGAAACTTCGCTTTCCTAATTGGTTTTCTAATGGACTAAAAACGCTACTTAAAAGGAAGCACTTCCTACACAGAAAGTCTAAGAGAAGTGGTCTCCCAAAGTGGAAGGTAGAATTCAAGAGTTGCAGAAAGAAATGTAACATAATGTTAAACCGTGACCGCCTGGCGTATCGTGACTCAGTGGAATCTGACCTTGTCAAAAAGCCTAGGAAATTCTGGAGGTACACTAGATCACGTTCTGGGAAGGATATCCGATCGACAAGTTTTGGATCCCCATGAAAAAAATGCGGAGTGCGTGCCCGCGCTATTTGCAAATCATTTTAGTTCAGCCTACAAAAACAGTACCGTCTGCTCCACCGCCACATTTCCTTGCTTGAACGAATTTGGTGACCTACTAAGTCACAGTAATGTCGACGAGGAATGTGTAGAGCTAGGTATTAAAAAAAATTAAAGTCACGCTATCTGCGGGGCACGATGGTATACCATCTGCAATTCTCAACACTTTTCATGATATACTCACAGGTCACACGTACACTTTGTGCAATATTTAACAACTTATTAAGGTCAGGAGCATTCCCCGAAATGTGGAAAACTGCCGTGGTCGTTCCGGTTCTGAAGTCGGGAAAGAAAGGTGATGTTCTCAGCTATAGAACGATTTCCCTTCTCTCCTCATTTTCCAAACTCTTTGAAGCAGTCATTCATCAATTTTTGTCTCTCAAATTTCGAAACTTCACTCTCCCTAATCAGCATGGGTTTATGACCGGCAGATCAACGTCTACAAATCTTGTAAAATTTACGTCTACCGCGGCTTAGGTAGTGTGCAACAGAGGTCAGCTAGATGTGGTCTACTTTGACCTAAGCAAGGCATTTGACGTTGTTAATCATACGAGCGTTTTGTCAAAGCTTTCCACGTATCGGGTTTGTGGCACAGTATACGGCTGGTTTCGAAGCTATTTGTCAAACAGGAAAGCGTACGTTAGAGTCGACAATATGAACTCTTCATTGTACGGGGCAAGTTCTGGCGTTCCTCAGGGATCCGTCCTGGGACCGCTCCTGTTCACAATTTTTGTAAATGACGTCTCTGATGCTATTTCTAATTCTTCGTTCCTGCAATACGCTGATGATATTAAAATTTACAAAAAAATAGTTACTTTAGATGATTTCTCTAGGCATCAGGAAGATGCATGTTGTTTCATTAGGTGGTGCTCAGCCAATTATCTTCACTTAAACCGCGCTGAAACCAAGGACATTTACTCGGAAGGCACAGAATACATTTTTAGCACAAAGTATTCATGGTAAACCCCTGTCCCAGGTATGTGCAATAAAAGATCTGGGAGTTATGTTCGATCCTAGCCTGCGATTCTCTAGTCACGTAACTAGGCTCGTTAACTCGTCTCTGCGCACGCTGGGTGTTGCCTCTCGCTTAACGAGGGACATCAAGCATCCTTCTGCGTTTTTCACGCTGTACCGCTCGTTGTGCATGCCCCAGTTAGAATAGGCATCAGTTGTGTGGAACGGAATCTCTAAAACCAACTCATTGGATATCGAACGAGTTCAGAAAAAGTTTATATCCATCTTTACACATCTAAAACCTTATAAAAGACGTTCATCGTTCAACTTATGACGCAACGTCAGAGCGTGTTGACTTGCTGAGCCAGCACCGGCGTCGGCAGAAGGCGGACCTATTGTTTTTGTTTAAAACGTTGCATGGGTCGATTAATTCACCAAGCCTATTGTCTGAAGTGTGCCTTAGGGTTTCACGTGTGCCTACTCGGAATCGATCATCCTTTTATATTTTCAAAAAAATTTGGTCTTTTAAGCCCAATTATTAGACTGACTGAGTGTTAGAATCAGTACTCTGAGAAACTCAATATTTTCAAGTCGTGCTACAGGGCATTTGTTATTTCTTTCTAAGACCTGTCCGGCGGGTAAATAATGATTGTGGTTCACTTTAAAATTGATTTCGAAGAGCACAGACATTGTTGGGTTCGTGCTTGTGCTACTGCTTCCTATATTATTCGCTCTGAGTGCCTCTCAAACTTGTTTTTAAATTACTGCGATTTCTCTTCATTGTACAAAAGACCTAGAAATTATATTCTGTTATCATTCAGCTCGGTGTATGTCGTGTAGGGTTATATTCAATTACTGTATCGTGCATTGCTCTTCTGTATTTGTGTTTTATGTATTCATTTCCATCCAGTGTGCCAGTACCAAGACCGCAAGGTTGTTCCTGGGCACTATAATAAACATTGGTTGATCGATTGATTATTATTATTATTAACACTTACGTAACATACCAACAGTCAAGAACGCCCGAACGTAAAATTAAATTAGACGTCAATCGTTTATAAATAGTGACGTCGGACTGTGGTTGCATGGCGACAGCTGTGTCACGCTGTGGATGAAAAATCTAGCCAGTGCATTTAATGTACATGGCTAGTGTTGGCAGCAGAAACCGCCCGCCGGTACGATGCCGATCCAGAGCGAAACGTGCGAGGGCTGGGATCAACCCAGCGTCCCTGGGATATGCTGCACTAGGCGTGGGAGACGTGATGGAGCTCCGCCTCTATAAATGCCATGAAACATTTTCAGTCGCAGCAGCGTCATTTATCATTCGGAACGCCCGATGGTTAGCAATAACTGACGCTAGGCGTATCGAGTCTGGTGATCGGTGGTTATTGGAAGAAGGCTCTAGTACACAGAAAATAAGTTTCGTTCGAGCATGCGTCCCGTCGCATATGCGCAGTCGTCCTGTTTTACCTGTTGGTCACACGCTAACGTTAATTCATGAGACTGGTTCTTTTTTTCCCCCTGTTCTGTTTTCCGTTAATAATCCTGTTTAAGTGAATAAAAAGGCCCACCAAAGTCCGGAATCCGGTCTGTCATAAGAATCGTTAATGCCACAAATGTCAGGCCACGCAGACCACGAATTATTTATCGATGGATTTGCAAAACGTGTGGGTTCAACGCGATGAGCGAACCAATGGTGCGGAATCAAGTTTAAATATTTCAC